GTGAACATTGGTGTACAATTCTCATTTTGAATCTCTGCTTTCAGGTCTTTTTGATATATACCTGGGAGTGGAATAGCTGCATTCTATAGTAGTTCTGCTTTTAGTTTTTTGGGAACTGCCACACTGTTTTCCACAATGGCTCTACCATTTTGCATTCCCACCAACAGTGGATAAGGATCCCAATTTCTCCACATCCTTGCCAACATTTTTCATTTTCTGGTTTTTTTTTTTAATCTTAGCATTCCTAGTGGGATTGAAATTCTATCTCATTAAGTTTTTGAGTTACATGTCTCTGATAGGTAATGACGTTGAGCATCTTTTCTTTCATGTGTTTGGTGGCCATTTGTATGTCCTCTTCGGTGAAATGTTTATTCAAATCTTTTACCCATTTTGTGAGTTGTCTTTTTGTTGTTATCGAAGTTTTATATATACTTTAGTTAGTAGATTCTTATTGGATGTATTATTTCCAAAGATACTCTTCCAGTTGATAGCTTTTCTTTTTACTTTTTTGATAAAGTCTTTTGATGAACAAAAGTTTTTAATTTTTTATGAGGTCCCATTTAGTTATTTTGTCTTTTGCTGTCTGTGCTTTTGTTATTATATTAGATAAATCCATTGTTGAAAGGTAGGCCTGACAGTGTTGTCCCTGCCTTTTCTTGTAAGAATTTTATGGTGTTAGTTTGCATATTTAGGTCCTTATTCCATTTTGAATTTGTTTTATGTGTATATGATGTGAGGCATTGGTCCTGTTTTATTTTTTTGCATGTGGAAATCCAGTTTTCCCAGTACTATTTATTGAAAAGACTCTTCTTTCTCCATTGAATGGACTCAGCACCCTTATCAAAAATCAGCTGATCGTAGATGTGTGTGTGTGTTTCTGGACTCTCAATTCTATTCCATTGGTCTGCGTATCTATTGTTATACCAGTACCAGGCTGTTTTGATCACTGTAACTGTATAGTATGTTGTAAAATCAGAAAATGTGAATCCTTTTACTTTGTTCTTGTCTTTCAACATTGCTTTAGCTCTTTGGGGTCTCTTGTCATTTCATAAAAACGATTGGTTTTTCTATTTCTGTAAAGAAGGCTGTTGGAATTTTCATCGAGATTACATTCAATCTATAGATTGCTTTGGGTAGTATTGATGGTCTTAACAATGCTAAGTCTTCTAATCTATAAATGTGGGACATCTTTCCATTAATTTAAGTCTTCTTTAATCTCTTTCAGCAGTGTTTCATAGTTTTCATTGTGTAAGTCCTTCATGTCCCTCGCAGGACCTTTTTTTTTTTGACTAATTTTCCTAGATAAGCCTTTGTGAAAATATTTTGAAATGGTTACTACAGAAACTTGTTTGTAGTTAATTTTTAAGATTTAACTAGAATAGTAAGAAATTGTAACCATAAGTAACTAATTTCATGTTTGATATCTCTTATACAAGCCACATAAGTATGTTTGGGAAAGAAAGCGCTAGACCCCGGTATACCTTGTGAATGAATGACTCAAGGGAAGTCACGCATCTGCAGTCAGGCAATACATTTCTCTACTTTGATGTTATTAAGGAAAAATACCAACACTGTAGGCTCGATAAAGCTGAGTAAGTTTTTTAGCCTTTCAGCCTGGACTGTTCTTAAAAGGTGAATCGACTTAAAAGCACAAGTCTATTTTCCGACTTTGAGTCTTTTAACCTAATAAACATCTGCAAAATGCTTAGAATTTGAACGACATAACTATAATTTATATTTTCTTACCATTTTTGTAGTACCAGTCCCATTTGTTTGAAGTGAGAATACTTTTCTCTTTCCCCTTACTGTGATAGGAAAATGGTCTATCAGGTTAAATGAAGAAATGAGCTCTAAGCTTTGCCTCACTGTGACTGTTCTTCCAGCTGAAGCATTATCTCTAATTTGAACTTAACTTACAGTGCTCCGAAACAGCTTGTTTCACAGCATCCTGTTTTCTTCTCATCTTGAAGATGGTTTCTGCCTTTTTTCAGTTTGGATAATTTTGAAAATTGTCTTCTTTCAGAAGAACTGGAGTGATTTGTGATAGCTCCTTGTTATGGTTCACTGCCCCTACACAGAGCTGTCCTGCTTCCTTCTATTGAGGGAACAGAGTATCAAATGTTTAAACTATCATCTGTCTACCCATTTTTAAATGAAACTACTGATTGATTTCTCTAGTGTTCAGTAAATACTAATGTGGTTATAAAAAACTAATAAAAAATTGAGTTCAAATTTTAATACAAGAAGTCGAAATAACTACACGTAAACACCAACATCTAAATGCCCACAGTTGAATTCTGGTTTTAATAGTCACCATTATTATTATGATTATTTTATTATCTTAATTTTCATGCCTTCTGAGACGGTGTTTTGGTTAGATAAAGCTAGTGATCTAACCAATGTTTTGACTCTTTAAATTCTTTCTGTGCAGTTGTTATTTCATCTGATATTGCTTTATTTTATTTTACTTTCGTTCTACTTTCAATGTGTTCTTTATGGCGCCCTCTGGTGGTTTCACAATGCAGTAGCAAAATGACAGGGAGCTGTGGCTTTCTAAATGTTAGCCTTCATTAAGTCTGGGTTCCTTTTAGTAAGAAAATAAAATTGTTTTTTTTAAATTGTTATACAGGTATCACTTTCTTCTGTTCAGTATTTTTTCCCAAACCCTTTTAGAAATTGAAGTGTTTATTGAGGAGAGGTACTTGCTCTGTATTTTTTGCGTGGAACTGATTCATTAAACTTGGAGCCTTCCATGGCTCCTGTGCTTTTAGAATAAAATCAAGACTCCTGGCCTCACAGTCAATGTCAGTGACTGTGCTGTGTAGGTCTCCTGTTTTCCTCAACCACATCAGGTTCTGTCCCACCTTAGAGCCTGCGTGTGTGCAGTCCTTCCCTCAAGAACCTGTCCTGCCCTTCCTGCCCTTTCTTCCCACAGCTGGCCACTCTGGTCCTCCAGCTCTCAGCTTACATGGTACCTACCGTCTTAAGGTCTTCCTCACTGTTCTGTTTAAAGCATGCCCCCTCCATCACCATTTTCTCGGAGTTCCCAGTTGTTTTCTTCATGGCACTTATTCTAATTTGCAATTATTTTATTTATTTATTTATTTTTAACCTTTTTATTTGTTTTTGCTGTTTTTGTTTACTGTTGCTTTTATGGCAGTGTCTCCCACACTAGAATATAAACTTCATGAGAACTCTGTCTTATTCTCTCTTATATCCACATCACCTAGAGCAGAGCCTGGCACCAAGTAAAACCTTAGATACAGTTAGAAGCTAAGATGTTAGCATACATTTGAAGTTATCTTGAAATGCCGTTTGTTGAACATATTTACAAGTTTCATTTTCTGACTCAGTACATATGGAAAATTGTCTGTAATGATTTTTTGAATTAAAGATCTTATACCTTCTCCAGATCATTATTATCAACACTAAGATGTGGCAGGTCTAGGAGACTGGGCTCATCCCAGAGTATACAGTGAAAGTTACTTTTAAAATGTAAATTCACTATGTATGTTCCTTATCTTATTATTTGCCCCTCGAAGAAGAGTAAACTTTTGAAGAAAAATTTCAGTGATACCTCAGTTCTGTTCTAGTTGAGTTAGATGTACTTTAGAGTCTGAAAATTTCACCCATTTTTAAATACTAAGTGCAAACCAATGCCGAGTCTAAATCTAAATGACTAGGAGATGTCTTGATACATGCTACAATATGGATGGAGCTTGAAGATGTCATGCAGAGTGAAATAAGTCAATCATAAAAGGACAAATATCGGAAGACCACACTTATATAAAAAGACAAGAACAGGCAAGTGTATAGAGACCAACGTTTATTAGTGGTTACCTGGGGCAGGAGCGAGGGTGGAAGGAAGGGTTTATTGCTTATGGAGTACCGAGTATTGATTTACAGTGATGGAACAATTGCATCGATTAAGGGTAGGGTTGCACAGCCATTGACTGTGATTGCTGTTAATGAGTTGTACACCTGTGAAAAGTTGAACTGGCAAAAGTTGTGTTACAAATATATTTACAACAACCACAAAAGATAAAGAGCTGCTGATTATATACAGCCAACTTCATTGAGTTTGATTTCTTGATTTGGAGATTTAGGGTCATGGTTTCATGGGACATCCCAGTTAACTGGCCTAAGAACATGCTTAGTGCTTCTGTTCCACCTCCTAGTTTGTTGCGTAGTGCCTTGCAAGTGGGCATTCAAGGTGCAATAATTGGTATCTATATGCCTGGAGCAACAGAGGAAGGAGGAGAGTCAGGAATAGAGGGAGGATATGAAATGTGTGCCTGATTGCCTCCATGAACAACTGCCTCCTTTGCGATGAGACTAGATGAACTGGATGGTGCCCAGCTAACATTACTAAACATTTTGATCAAACAGTCTATAGAAGAATCTTGATCAAAAGGGGTAAAAATGCAGAACAGAACTTAAAATTTTCATGGAAGTGGACTTTCTGGAACCACAGAGGCTGAATGAACCCCTGAAACTATTGCCCTGAGATAATCTTAAACCTTAAACCAAAAATATCCCCTGAAGTCTTCTTAAAACCAAAGAAAGTTTAGCTTAACTATAAAGAATGTCTGCCTTGAGCATTGTGTTCTTTTAAGAACGATATATGGAATCAAACTGACAACAGCAATTCAAAAGATTAGATAGGAAACTTAGGGAGCAGTGAGTTTATGTGAATGAGGGAGGAACAACTCAGAAAAGAAGGGTGACAATGGTTGCACAACTCGAAGAATGGAATCAATGTCACTGAATTGTACATGTAGAAGTTGCTGAACTGGTGTATGGTCTGCTGTGTATATTCTCAACAGCAACAACAGAAATAGAATAAATTATTAAAAAATAATAATAAGTAACTGCGGGTTTACTTCCTAGCTCATTTGTGTCTGTTACTCTTCGTACATCTGGACATTCAGAGTTTAACAACATTTGCTTCTGTTCTCTATGCCTCAGTAACAGATGCTTGTGTTGGCTTTTTCCTTCAGCCCTGTCAGTTTGAGCAGTGCATTGTGCACTCCCTGCAGTCACTGAAAGGAGTCCTGGAGTGCAAGTCTGGAGAAGCCAGTGTAAGTATTTTCTTCAGTCAATACCTATTGCAAAATGTGTCAAGGAACTTTTTGGAATCAGTTGTAAATTTTTGAGCCATTTCAGCACAAGAGCTTTTCTCTTCTCATTCCTTGCTTGTTTTATTTAGTTTAACTACACAGGCTTGTTGATTTGTGGTTCCATGATAGGGTGATAAAAATTAAAAAGTAAGTGTTCTAGGTAGAGTACTTGTAGTATTAACACCTTGTATGCAAAGGAAATGATTGGCCTGGATATTATTAATCACCTTAGGAAGCCAGTGTCTTCTCAAGCCTTAATAGCTACACTTGGAAAACTGTCTGCAGGCCAACTCTGAATCTTGTCTCCCTTCAGAGTAAAGTTTCCCATAATGAGTCCATTGTCTGTGTTTAACTTTTTTCTATCTCGCTTCATAAACAAAAAATTTTATTTTCTTAGCTAAGTCCAAAAATTTTAATCAAAATTCTTCCTTACAGGTCTTTCAACAACCTAAAACACAGGAGGAGGTTTGCCAACTAAGCATCAATATCATGCAGGTAATATTAAAAAGCAGTGATTCCCAGTAAGCATGATACAATGCAAATGATTAGTCGACCCCCTCCTATTTTATATATATGTAGTATATGTATAAAGTATATTAAATAATATATATTCTTTATTCATTTACTCTGAGTACATGATTTTTATGGTAGGTGGGTGTCTTAGTCATCTAGTGCTACTGTAACAAAAATACCACATGTTGGTGGCTTTAAAGAATAGAAATTTATTGCCTCACAGTTCTGGAGGCTGAGTTCATTGGGAGTAGTGCTTTGTAGGCACATAAAGTTGTGGAAGTGAGTGAATGAGAGAAAAAGTAAAGCTTTTTCCTAAAATATGTTCAAAAATTTAAAAATGGGATTAAAAAGGTGCTTTTAATTATTTGTCACTTATGGAATCAAAAACATATATTTCTTTTTTTTTTTTTTAATTGTACTTCAGGTGAAGGCTTACAGAACAAATAGTTTCTCATGAAACAGAGGTACACGTTGTTTTATGACATTGGTACAACCCCACAACGTATCAACCCTCTAACTTCTCAACCTCTTTTTTTTTTGGTGAAAATACACATAGCCAAAGATACACCATTTCAAAAATTTCTACATGCACAGTTCAGTGACATTAACTACGCTCTTCGAATTGTGCTGTTATTCTCACTTAAGATGAAGGCTTACAGAACAAAATAGTTTCTCATTTAACAGTTACTACAAATGTTGCCCTATGACAATGGTTAACAATCTCACAACACGTCAACAATATCCTTACTCAACCTTGGGTTCCCTATCACCAGCTTCCTTGTCCCCTTCTGCCTTCTGGCCCTTGTCACTGGACTCCTGTACCTCGTTAGTCTCATTTGGTTTTATGGGGCTGTCCACTCCCAGGCTGAACAGTGAACCTCAGAGGTAACTTCACCACTGAGCTAAAAGGGTGTCTGGGAGCCATACTCTCGAGGTTTCTCCAGTCTCTTTTAGGCCAGTAAATCTGGTCTTTTTCAAAAACATATATTTCTATTTTAATTTCTGTGAAATTATTTTTGATGCCCAAATAGATTAATATCTGAGTGTTCAAATCACTGAAACTTATTTTTTATGTAGATTTTTATACACTGTCTGGAGCAGTTGAGCACCAAGCCTGATGCGGACATAGATACCACACAGTAAGTAAAAATGAAATTAATCTCATTGGTGAATTTAGGAGAGTTAGAAATACAGATGCAAGTTGTATATTTAGTCTTAATGGTCTAAGACTTCTAGTAAGAGAGATAGGTTCAGATGTTCAAATCATATTTTTATATGTTGTTAGGTGCCATCGAGTTGGTTCTGACTCATAGAGATCCCATGTACAACAGAACAAAACACTGCCTGGTCCTGTGCCATCCTCATAATCGTTGTTATGTTTGAGCCCATTGTTGAAGCCACTGTGTCAATTTTATGTATTTCACCTATATTATTTCCATAATTTATCTTCTAATTTCATCTTAGCCTTAATATAGATATTGAATGAAATTAAACATGTGATAAGCTTACTAATTCAAAACAAAGAGGTTTTATAAATAATAAAGTACAATATTTAAATATATAGTTTCCAGTTGATTACTATTACAGTTCTTGTATTAGGGGATTGTACCAGTACTCGTGTTGTTGTTAGATGCCCTTGAGTTACTTCTGACTCATAGAAACCCTAAATATAATGGGATGAAACACTGCTCAGTCCATTGTCATCCTCATAATTGTTGTTATGCTTGAGCCCATTGTTGCAGCCACTGTGTCAGTCCGTCTCATCAAGGGTCTTCCTCTTTTTTGCTGAAACTCTACCAAACATGATATCCTTCTGCAAGGACTGGTCCCTCCTGATAACATGTCCAGAGTATGTGAGACAAAGTGTTGCCATCCTCACTTGCAAGGAACACTCTGGCTGTATTTCTTCCAAGACAAACTTGTTTATTCTTCTGGTGGTCCATGGTATATTCAATATTCTTCACCAACACAATAATTCAAAGGCATCAATTCTTCAGTCTTCCTTATTCATTGTCCAGTTTTCCCATGCATATGAGGTGATTGAAAACATAATGACTTGAGTTACGCACATCTTAATCCTCAAAGTGACATCTTTGCTATTTAAAACTTTAAAGAGGTCTCTTGCAGCAGATTTGCCAAATGCAATAGATTGTTTGATTTCCCAACTACTGCTTCCATGGGTGTTGATTGTGGATCCAAGTAAAATGAAATCCTTGACAACTTCAAGTTTTCCTCTGTTTATCATGATGTTGCTTATTGGTCCAGTTGTGAGGATTTTTGTTTTCTTTATGTTGAGGTGTAATCCTACTGAAGGCTGTAGTCTTTGGTCTTCATCAGTAAGTGCTTCAAATCCTCTTCACTTCCCATAAATAAGGTTGTATCATTTGCATATCACAGGTTGTTAATGAGTCTTCCACCAATCCTGATGCCACGTTTTTCTTCATATAGCTCAGCATCTCAGATTATTTGCTCAGCATACAGATTGAATAAGTGTGGTGGAAGGTTACAACCCTGATGTGCAACTTTCTTGATTTCAAACCATGCAGTATCCATCCCCTTGCTCTGTTCCAGCGACTGCCTCTTGGTCTACGTAAAGGTTCCTCGTGAACACAATTAAGTGGTTTGGAATTCTGTTCTTCGTATTGCTATCCACAATTTATTATGATCCACACAGTTGAATGCCTTTGCATAGTCAATAAAACACAGGTAAACATCTTTCTCATATCCTCTGCTTTCAGCCAAGATCCATCTGACTTCAGCAATGACATCTCTCATTCCACATTCTCTTCTGAATCCTACTTGAATTTCTAGCAGTTCCCTGTCGATGTACTGCTGTGGCTGCTTTTGAATTATCTTCAGCAAAATTTTGCTTGGGTGTGATATTAATGATATTGTTTGATGGTTTTCACATTCTGTTGGATCACCTTTCTTTGGAATGGGCACAGATATGGATCTCTTCCAGTCAGTTGGCCAGGTAGCTGTTTTCCACATTTCTTGGCATAGACGAGTGGGCACTTCCAGCGTTGCATCCCTTTGTTGAAACATTTCATTTGGTATTCTCTAAGTTCCTGAAGTCTTGTTTTTCAACAATGCCTCCAGTGCACCTTGGATTTCTTCTTTCAGTACCATCGGTTCTTGATCATATGCTACCTCCTGAAATAGTCAAACATCCGCCAGTTCTTTTTTGTACAGTCATTCTGTGTATTCGTTCCATCTTCTTTTGATGCTTTCTGCATTGTTCAGTATTTTCCCCATGGAATCCTTCAGTATTGCAACTCGAGGCTTGAATTTTTTCTCCAGTTCTTTCTGCCTGAGCCAAATGCCAAGTGTGCTCTTCCCTTTCAGTTTTCTAACTCCAGGTATTGGCACATTTTATTATAATATTTTACCTTGTATTCTCAAGCTACTCTTTGAAATCTTCTATTCAGCTCTCTACTTTTGTTATGTTATTATGTTATGTTTTGTTTATATTATATATGTTTTATATTATGTTTATGTTTTGTTATGTTGTTACTATTCTAATTACGTTATTAGAATTTTAAGTCTGTGTCAGTTTTAGTTATTTGGGCTCTGGAGGACATTTCTTAATTCTTTCGTGTTTGTGTGTGTGTATATGTGTTTTCAGTGAAAGTTAACAGCATAAATTACTTTCTCCTGTAAAAAATTATACACTTTTTTTGTGACATTGGTTGCAATCCCCACAACGTGTGAGCGCTGTCCCTCCTTCCTTTCACACCCTGGATTCCCTGTGTATTTTCATGCAGGCTTCCTGTCCCTTCCTGCCGTCTCATCTTCGATTTTGGGCAGATATTGCCCATTTGATCTCATATACTCAGTTGAACTGAAGCACATTCCTCACGTTATTTTTTGATTTATAGGCCTGTCTGATCTTTGGCTAAAAGGTGAACTTCGGGAGTTTCTTCAGTTCTGAGTTAGCAGGGTGTCCGAGGGCCATAGTTTTGGTGGTCCCTCCAATCTCTGTCAGACCAGTAAGTCTGGTCTTCTTTTGTGAATTTGAATTTTGTTCTACATTTTTCTCTCGCTTTGTCTAGAACCCTCTTCTGTGTTCCCTGTCAGGGCAGTCAGTGAGTAGCTCGGCACATCTATTTGACCTGGGCTCAGGCTGGTGGGGACTGTGGTTCATGTAGTCCGTTAGTCTGTTGGACTGATATTTTCCTTGTGTCTTTGGTTTTCTTCATCCTTCTTTGCTCTGAACGTGTTGCTACCAATAGTTGTATTTTAGATGGTGGCTCGTAAGCTTTTAAGATTCCAGATGCTACTCACCAAAGTCGGATGTAGAACATTTTCTCTATAAACTATGTTATGCCAGTTAACCTAGATGTCCCCTTAAACCATTGTCAACAGCCCTCAGTCCCAGTAACTAGGTCCTTCAATGTGTTTGAATGTGTCTAGGAGGCTTCTATGGCTTTGCCTTGGTCATGTTTTGCTGACTTTCCCTGTGTTGTGTGTTGTCTTTTCTTTCACCAAAGTTAACACTTGTCTACTATTTAGTTAGTGATTTCCCTTCCCCACCTCTACCCTCCTTTGTTACCATCAAAGATTGGTTGTGTGTGTGTGTTTGTGTGTGTATAAATCTTTTCTTGAATTTTTATAATACTGTTCTCTTACAATATGTGTTCTTTTGTGATTCACTCAACATAATGCCCTCCAGATTCATCTGTGTTGTGAGATGTTTTTCAGATTCATCATTGTTCTTTATCATTGCTTACTATTCTGTTGTGTGTATGTACTATTATTTGTTTATCCATTCGTCTGTTGATGGGCACTTAGGTTGTTTCCATCTTTTTGCTATTGAAAATAATGCTGCAGTGAACATGGGTGTGCCTATATCTATTTGTGTGAAGGCTCTTATTTCTCTAGGATGTATTCCCTGGAGTGCAATTGCTGGATCATATGATATTTCTATTTCTAGCTTTTTAAGAAAGCTCCATGTTGTATCATTTTCTATAGTGGCTGTACCATTTTACATTCCCACCAGCGGTGCATGAGAGTTCCAGTCTCCCTGCAACCTCTCCAACTTATTTTTTTTATTTATTATTGCCAGTAGTGTCAGGGTAAGATGGTATCTCATTGTAGTTTTGATTTACATTTCTCTAATGGCTAATGATCGTGAGCACTTCCTCATTTGTCTGTTAGCCACCTGAATGTCTTCTTTGGTGAAGTGTCTGTGCATATCCTTTGCCCATTTTTTAAATTGGATTATTGTTACTGAGGTGTTGAAATATTCTACAGATTGTAGAGATTAGGCGCTTATCGGATATGTTGTAGCCAAAAAATTTTTTCCCAATATGTAGGTTCACTTTTTACTCTTTTGGTGAAGTGTTTTGATGAGCACACTTCTTTAATTTTCAGGCGCTCCCAGTTATCTAGTTTATCTTCTGGTGTTTTTGCATATTTAGTTATGGTTTGTATTGAATTTATGCCACATGTATTAGGGCCCCTGTCATTGTCCCTAATTTTTTTTTCCATGATCTTTATCATTTTAGGTTTTATATTTAGGTCTTTGATGCATTTTGAGTTAGTTTTTTTGTATGGTGTGAGGTATGGATCCTGTTTCATGTTTTTACAGATGGACATCCAGTTTTGACAGCACCATTTGTTAAAAAGACTGTTCCTCATTTAATGGACTTTGGACCTTTGTCAAAGATCAGATGACCATAGGTGGATGGATTTACATCTGGGTTCTCCATTCTGTTCCATTGATATATGTGTCTGTCTTCGTACCAGTACTAGGCTGGTTTGACTACCATGGCTGTATAGTAGGTTCTGAGATCAGGTAGTGTGAAGCCTCCTATTTTGTTCTCTTTTTTTAGTAATGCTTGGCTTATCTGGGGCCTTCTATCCCTTCTGTTCCTGTTTTATTGAGAGTTTTTATCAGGAATGGGTGTTGGACTTTATCAAATGCCTTTTCTGGGTCGATTGAGATGATCATGTGATTCTGTCTACATGGTGGATTACGTTGATTGATTTTCTAATGTTGAACCATCCTTGCATACCTGATACAAATCCCACTTGGTGGTGGTGTATTATTTTTTTGATATGATGCTCAATTTTATTGGATAGAATTTTGTTGAGAATTTTTGCATCTATATTCTTAAGAGATGCTGGTCCGTAATTT